TTTGATCCAAATCTTATCTCTCACATATGGTTTCTTTTGAAAAAGAAAAACATTCGATTGGCCTTTTACAAGTCCGCAATATGGTTTTGCGAAGATTGCAAATACTTTTGCATCACATGTTATGCTAGATAACGGCGTCATTATCAATTATCACTGAAATATTTGATTATGAAAAATAAATATATGATAATAAAAGTTAACATAGAATATACTCGTTTTATTTATTCTGTTCTATTAGTCATTTTTTTGTCCTTTAGACTTCTGTTATGCAAAAATCTTCTCTTGAATAAGTGTAATTTAAAAGAAATAGAATAGATATTATTTTCTCATATTTTATTTTTATTAATAATAAATTCAATTCTATATTACAATTTATTTAGAAATCGACATAATACTGACTTTTTTTCTATTATAACTTCAATAAAATCTTTTTTTCTGTTATCAGTTACATGTCTGACTTTTAAAACAGATACCCAAATACATTCAATACAAACCACTGTATGTCTGTTTCTACACTATTATATATAAGAAACACAGGTTTTTTTGTTTTGTTTTGGCTAACAAAACATCAATAAACAAAAACAAAAAAAAAGAAAGAAGACTTAAAGTCATTTCTAAAAAAAACCAAATGAATAATAATACTCTATAGGAAACGAAAAACCGACAGTTTCACCGAATAATAGAAGATCCATTATGGCTGAGCACTATCATTAAACATACACTGATATACATAAATATATGAGCAAATATGAAAGACTAGAGATACAAGTATTATAAAGTATAACCAAAGGAAGAAAAAAAAATTAATTATCGGTCAATATTAATTGTTTGACACGCATTTGAAATAGAACATATTGTCGATGATAATTTCGTGCTAATTGTAATGCATGTCGTGCATCATGTTGTCTTACAAGACGTGTAAAATACGAACCAATAAAATCATCATCATCACTATTTAATGGTGACATTTGCATAATTGATGAACGATTTTGTTCAAGTAAAGCAACGCATAGAAATATTGTAAACATATCTGAATAATTTTCATCATGGTCAATAGATGAAAACTGTACTAACCATTTTCCTATCGGTATACATGATGTTGTTGGTAAATTGGTTCGAAATGTTAAATAAGATGAATTCTCACATTTTTGTGAACGTAAATTAAAATCACATATACCTGGAATATGTTCATCACGATAACCTGAATCACCACCATCAAGACTTGAATGTTGGGATTGAGTTTCTTCAAGTGTTGGCGAACATGAACGTGATGATAATATTGTATTTGATATTGATGAAAGCATTGATGCACGATGTGGATTACATAATGATGATGGACAAAGATCATCTCTATCCGATAATGTATTATCATTATTTAATTCAAATCTATCGACTGGTAATGATGCCCATAAAGTTTCTAAGACACGAAATATATCCTTGAATGGAAATTCACGTTTACAATCTAATAATAACCAACGATAAGCAAACATAAGATTACCTAAAATAAGAATCATATATAGAGAAAAATCAAATAATATTAAAATTACAAACCAATATCACACTGCTCAATTTTAGTCCACAAATCGATATCAATAGCTCGAATTGTTTTTCTTAATAAATCTAATCGACGATTCATTGTAATACCATTTGGATGAAATATTGAACCCATATGACGCATTAATGAACAAAAACATGCGTAAGCTAATGATTCATCTCTTATAACATATAAAATAGGTGCTACCATATCATTCATACCTAAATAAGGAAAGAAAAATTTTATATACATATTAAATTATCATCATCAAATAAAATTACCTTGTATATAACCAGGTTCAGGATGATAAACAATATAGGTCATAAGTATATGAAATAATTTTTGTCTTGTTAAATTTTCTTTATCATCAAAAAATTTGACTGAACGATCTGTGCGTTGTACATCTTTTTGTATTAAATTTTCAAGTGCAACTATTTCGGTATCTTGTTGTTTATATCGATTTTGCCAAGCTTCTTTCATTCTAAAAGATAAATTTATTAAAAAGAAGTTTTTTTTTTTTTTTGATTAAATTATTTACTCGTTATATCGTTCATTTTCTCTTATTATATATTCGTTTTTATCATCATTTGTCATTGATTCATTAAATACGCGTAATAAATAACACCAAACAATTTTTCTTATAGATTCATCACAACCATTATCAAATATACGTTGTCGAAATGCTGGTTCATCTAATAAACGACCTGTTATTGGATCTAACATTTGTAAAAATTCTTTTTTTGTTAAACAATTATTTGGTGATGAATGAACTGAACCATGTAGCCAACCTAAATAAATAAATAAAATAAAAAATAATGAAATTTTTTTTGTTTTTTTTTTTATTATTTACTAGTTGCTTTTTGTAAAAATGTTTCTTGTTGAATATTTTTTGGTTTAATTGTGACTAAAATGGAATTATTTTGTATTTCAAGGATTTCGAAATTATCCTCTTTATCATTTAAATTTGTATAATTATCTTCAACTATACACCAATCATCAGAACTTGATTGAATTTGATTTTTTGTCCTTGGATATTTATAAACAATAAATTCAAGTAATGATTGATGTTTATTTTCATAATCATTTTCATCTAACATATTCATTATACAACCATCAACATCAAAATCGTCTGTAACTGGAAAATTACACTTAAACGATGATGATTCTTTAGCGATTAATGTAAAATTTGAATGTAAATTAAATATACGATTTACTAAACGTATAAGAAATGTGTATGATAATAATTGAATATCAACTGAAAATTTTTTTCGTGATTGACATTGATTACAATCGTTTAGCTAGAATAAAAGTCGAGCGGTTATTTTTTCATAATTAATTTAAAAATATATTATTTTTACCGATATAATGAAGACAACTATATTTGGTAGACTAATATCTTGTTGTAATTGACGATAATGAAATTTTGATGGATATGTGGATCCGACCTGAAATAATAATAGAGCGACACCATTTTATTATGCAATATAAATGTTCGTAATTATGATTCATTCAGTCTCATGATATTATCAGCTGACAGATATATTCACTTTATTATCGGATTCAATTTATGTTAATATAAGAAAATACAAGAAAAATAAATTACCTCATCCATACTATTACATCGGCAACGATCATCAGTCATAAGTGATGGTGAAGATGTCGATGCTTGTGACGTGTGAGTTTCGTTTTCGGTTTTTGGTGACATAGTTTGTTACGATATATTATATATGCAATCTTTTATTTGAAATAGAAAAATATCGTGTGACACACGTATTTATTAAAGAGAAACTTTTTTCTCGACTCAAAAAATAAATAGAATGACGTGGTAATAATATATGGGTGTGCTCTTATTAGTTTGACACCATATGTGACCTACCCTTAATATGTATTATAAACCAATCTTGTTCGTCTTTCGTTTCGTTCTGTATTTCTTTCTCTCTCTCTCTCGCTCTCTCTTTTTCTTCGTTTTGCTGTTTTATCATCAATCTTTGCCTTTATCTAGTACCCATCCTCTACCTTCGTGCTTTCTTGCCTATCAAAGATTATTTTGTGACTGTCTTTGAGTTCAAGGAAAGTTAAAAGAGGAAAAGAACGATGCGACATGATAAATACTTATCTATACAGAACACTAATGAGAATATATAATTGTTTCTATAGTAATCATCCTATTATTTATTTATTTATTTATTTATTGTTTTTGTTAAATAAATGCGTGAAATAATAACAATTCAAGTTGGACAAGCTGGAAATTCTATCGGTGAAAAAGTGAGAAAGTCAAAGAATTTTCTTTTCTTTTTTTGTAAATAATAAGAGGAAAAAAAAATTTGAGCCTTAGTTTTGGGAATTAGCTTGTGATGAACATGGAATTGATCGTTGTGGAAATTTTCATGGTGAAAGTGATTTACAACTTGAACGTATTAATGTTTATTTTACTGAAGTAAGAAATCAACATTATGTACCACGATCTATTTTTATTGATCTTGATCAAACATCAATAAATAAAATTCAGAATTCAAATAATAAAAATTTATTTAATCCTGAATTTTTAATCAATGGAAAAATGAGTGCTAGTAATAATTTTGCTAAGGGATATTTTACTGAAGGTTATATAATTATAAATAAATTTAAACATTAATAAATTCGAAATAAATATTTCCTAGGAGTTGAAATGTTACCAGAATTAATGGATATTATTCGTAAAATAGCTGAAGAATGTGATTTAGTACATGGTTTTCAATTTTTACATAGTATTAGTGGTGGTGTTGGTGGTGGATTAGGTTCATTATTAATTGATAATATTCGACAAGAATATTCCGATCGAATTCTAAAATCTTATTCAATATTTCCTGCTTTATCAATGTCACAAGTTGTGGTATGTGGAGAACAAGGGTATCTCGAACGAAGGCACAACGTGCGATTTTCATGTGCCAGATAAACATGTGATTTTCTTGCTCGGAAATGGATTTCTGTGTTCAGCAATGATTGAATATAACGCAGAAAAAGAATTTTTAAGAGAAAAAAACATTTTTTGGAAAAAAAACACCTGAAGGGTACTCTTATTGCCCTCAGTTTTTTCGAGAATTTGTTTTTCTTCATAATTGTTTTTTATTACACATCTCATTCGATGTAGTTTAATGTGCTGATTTTAAATATACTATTATTGTCGATTAAATATTTTTTCAAAGTTACAAAAACAGAAAAAAATCTAGGCCTTTTTTTTAAACTTACGACGCAGTTCACGAACGTTTGTGCTAATAGAGATTAGAGACAGTAAATAGAAGAATAATTTGGAAAATTTTGGACGTTGAATTGCTCATTTGATGAGACTTATCCTTCGGACGACATCATAGAAAAAACTATTTTTTATTCTTAGGAGTTTAACGTGCAAACTAAAAAATGTTTTTACCATTGTCTAAAGCTCGACTTGGAGATTTAAGAAAATGGATTTCATTTGTGTGTCAAAACAGTTTATTTTTGTCAGATATCAATTTTTAGGGTAGTTTTTGGGTAACTGGTTTGTTTTTTTTTGAAGGTTATAGCAAGGTTATTTATACCATTAGACAGACTTTATTTCGAAGTACATTTCTTTTTACTTAAATCTTGAAAAAAAAAGTGGTTTTCAGTTTCAGCCAATGTGCGTCTAAATGCACACTGTGCGGGCAGGTTGACCTTTGATAGCTGTGGTTAAGAGGTTTTTAATCATTTTCAATAAGTTAATTTTGTTTTTTAAGGTTGAACCATATAATGCTGTATTAACTATGAATCGTAAGAAGAAAAAAAAAATTAAACTAAACTGAACGATAAAAATTTAATGTAGATCTAATTGAAAATACTGATCAAACATTTTGTTTTGATAATATTACTTTATTTGATATATTAAATAAAACACTTCGACTTTCATCAGCAAATTTTACAGATATTAATGATATATTAGCACAAGTTATGATCGGTATTACTGCTTGTTTTCGATTTCCAGGTATGATTTAATTTAAAGATACCCTCTGCCACTTTTCGGGGCTTCTTGAGAACATCTTATCAGAAAAAAATAAAATTTCCAAGACAAGGTTATCTTGACAAGTAAAGCAAAAGTTTTCATTCTACATACTATCTTCTATGAGATACTTTGATCAGAATGAGAAAAAATGGCCTCCTTGGTTCTCCGAGATGCGATGCTCGATCGAGTAGGAGATTTTTTTACAGTCATTAGACACTATTTGAGGTAGGTATATTTTTTTCTGTGCTTGGAATAATAAAAAAACAAAATATCAAAGGTACCCTAAAAAGTGTGCGTGTTTTTTTAATAAAGCTACCACAAACCAACAGAACAATATTTATATATGCATAGCAAATAGTGTGTAGTTTATGCGAAAACAGTTTCAGCTTGATTCAACGTAATAGGACGGAGAAATGATGGCATTTCTAGGCTTGCCCTGCTTTTGTCAACATGTTAAAATGTAAAAAAAACGTATAGAAGTAAAATTGTCAGAATATATGTTTTTTGTGATAGTTCTAATGTTTGAAATTGCGAAAGAGACAAATGCAAACGTTAGCAGTCGCTTACTGAAGCGAGAATCACAGTATGGGTGATTTTTAATGGGCATGTTCTCTTCACTCTCATCAATTCACATCCACACCCATGCCCATACTAATATCCACACCCATACCATTGGGTTCTGGAATGTTCTCGGTAGATAAATACTACTTGAGATTATTTAATGACCATAAAAAGAACATAAAGGTCAGGTCACGCAAATGATAGCGACTGAGTCAGAACATAAGGGTTTCTCATGTTTTGGAGAAACACTGGCGCCCTCACTACTGCGTTATATTATCCAGGATACAAACCATCAGTAGAGTAGCTAACGGCGAAACTAGAAAATTAGTTCTTCCTCTTCTGGTGCTACTAGTTAATTATCATCGTATATTCTTGTTAAGGCGGTTCATGTAGTGGTGGCGCCACCTGCCACTGCTTCCTCAAAAACTAGGGAAGCGCTAGTGTTCAGGCTTCATTGCTGGAAAGAGAGTGAGTACTCTTAAAAATTAAAAGTTTCTCAACATTCTTTTTCCATTCAGGACAACTAAATATGGATTTACGTAAATTAGCTGTTAATATGATACCATTTCCAACACTTCATTTTTTAACGACATCATTTTCACCATTACATGCACGTCAAATAGTTCGATATCAAAATATAAATGAACATATGCTTATTAAACAAATGTTTAATATAAATAATCAAATGTTAGCATTCAATCCACAACATGGAAAATATTTAACCGCAACAGGAATATTTCGTGGTAGAACATTATCATTAAAACTTCTTCATGATCTTATATCAAAAGAAAAAACACATCAACATTTTATTCAATGGATACCAAATAATGTTTGTATAGAAGAGAAATATCTCTTTTGAACTTATTATTTATATTTAATCTAGTGTAAAATAGCACATTGTGATATACCACCAAAAGGTTTGTCACGTTCAGTAACTGGTATTGCAAATAATACAGGAATAATAAAACAATTTGATTATATCTTACAACCATTTACAAAATTATTTCAACGTCGAGCATTTATTCATTGGTTTATTGGTGAAGGAATGGAGGAAATTGGTGTGTTTTTTTGTTTGTTTGTTTTTGTTTTATCTTTTTGTTATTTAAGAATTAATTGATGGAGAAAATCGAATAAAAGATTTAATAAAAGATTATCAACAATATGAAAAAACTACTACGTAGTAAAAAATGATTAATGAATTTAATTAGAAATCATGCACAAGGCTTTTTTTCTTATGTGATACAAAATCAAATATTCTACAAAATTCAAAGAAAAAAGATGATTTTCAATTCATTAGAATGATAGTCTTGTGAAAGTTTAACAGTTTTTCAAAAACTTCATGCTACTAAAGAAAGATCAGACAGCGAAATTATTCAATCATAGGATGTAGTTTAATATGAAAAACTAAGTGGTTCTTTCAAGATAATTATATTGATATATTTTACTTTCAGGTCTACGTTCAGTGAAACATTTCACGGAGCCTCTGTGGCGAAGCGGATTAACGCGTTGGACTTCTAATCCAAAGATCGTGGGTTCGATCCCCACCAGAGGTGGTCGCAATATATTTTTTTTATTCTTCTCTTTCTTCTATACAGAACGAAAAAGAAAAGCAACTCAAGAGTGATGCAGAAGTTTTGAGTCTTTGCAGAGAAATTGCATTTTTTTCCGTTATAAAAGATTCGAATACATTCAAAATATGCCATATAAGTTCTTGCAACTAAATGAATATTATTCTTAATTTTTATGCATTTAGCCCTATAATAAGAGTGGTATATAGGTTCATTTCTAAAGAAGTTCGTTCATGTCTTAGAAATAAGAAATAATGTTAAAAGGCCAACATAAAACTGAAGAGTTATGTCGACTAGAATTACGTCAAAAGGTTAAGTGAATATATGTAGTATATTTATATAACGATTTTCCGTTTTGATTGGTTGTATACGAATTTTCATACATGATTGGCAAGTGTGCTCAAAATGCATCAATTCAATACTAAGAAGATTATAGTGTCTAATTAATAAGCACGGATATTCTATTTATAAAGAAAGAGACTGTAAAGATATGAAATATTGTATTGTGTGTGACTGGATTAGAGCGATTAAATTGACTGATACCTATCAGGTTCAGATCAAATTTGGTGGCTTCTTTCTTACATTTTACAAATCAAATATTGACGTATTGCCTTATCATCCAAGGTTATTTTGACCAATTCATTGAATTTCAGCAAGGCAAGCTTGAACCAAGAGTGAATTTAGTGTTGTAGGATTTACATTGACTGGCAGAAGAACTTATTTAGATTCAAAACAATTGGGTAGTAAATTTTACGTTGGTGTTTTTGCAAAAATTGATTGTCATACGTAAATATCTTTGCCTACTATTTTAGCTATTACTTATTCCGTACATTTCTTTTACTTTTTTGTCATATGCCTAATCATACTTTGTTTTTATTATGATAAGTACATGTTTTTCGATCAAGTAAAACAGTACTGATATAATAACAAGCAAAAAATATTGTGTTAATTCAAGCGTTTTGTGTATAACAAATATTTATGATGATTGTCTCTTTGTTATGATGTGCGATTTGTGGATGTTAAAATTAAAACTTTCTCGGTTTCTTTTGTTTTTCATCGTTAATATAGCTTCGACATGTTCTTTGTCAAATGCCATATGAATGAAGGTTCTTCATTCTTACTTAGTTCTTTTATTAAATTCAACTCTTGAAACTTGTACTGCGATTATTCTTTGTAGGCAAAATTCTTCTAATGATAATTTCTAAAGTTGTTGAGACAATGGGTCATGAACCTCTAACACAGACTGTTTTCGATCACTTTAATTGCAGAAATAAGTCCTTATATATACAAGACAATTTGTTTTTCATTTTTCTCGAAATCAATTTTCACACAAAAAATTCAGAATCGCCTCGGTTTCTCCAATGTAGTACGTTCGAGCGAGTAGAAAGAGTTTTTTTTATAAGTACTGGACATTGTTTTGAAGTGCTTACTTTTTTCTGCTTGAATAATATTGCATCGTTGATGTTTGGTAGATTTTACAAAGAAAGTTCTAGTAAAAAAAAACATGTATTTTGGGGATTATGTTTAATATTTTCATCTTTTTCTTCGAAAGAAAGAAGATACAACAGTAGGGACACTCCAAATAGTATTCAGTGTCTATTAAAAAAAAAAGTTCCAGTTCTATTATACTTATTGCACCTGTGAAAGCAGAGACGTTTTTCTTAGCCATTGCGATCTATATATATCCTAGAAGAAAGTATTTGGGAATCTGCAATCTACGACAAGTTTTTCTCTATTCATCGAAATTTATCTGTCCTTTCAGTTTCAGTTGTCCTTCAGAAACTCTGGAAATAGGGGATCTCCTTCATGCAGGATTATAGAATTAAATCTATTCGAAAAATGAGAAATATCAAGTGACCTGTTGGTTAGAGTTCGTCGGATTGGCTCTGGGCCCGGTGAATCTGACGGACTCTGTTGTTATCAGTAAATATTAATTATTGTCTGCGTAACTTATGCACATGTATTTTGCTTTTGTTTTCAAGACACAGTAAAAACAGAACTTCATTAGAATATGAGTATATAGATCTCTGCTATTTTCAGTGCGAAAGATATGATAATTTAGAATAATGTTTATCTTGTTGTAAGGGTTCATATGTCAAACTTTGAAATTTCCTGTATTGGCTATAAGGGTGAGAAAACAGTTTCTTCTGAGATCCAAAAGTTTTGTATGACCCTTTAATTTACTTTCTCTTGTGCATCAGCATTGCTTCAGTCAAAATAATATTTATTAGAAAAGAAAAAAATCATATAAACATTTAAAGAAAAAAAAATCTTAGGCAATAAGAGATGGTGCAATACGTTTTTGTGTTTTATCGTATGATTTTTCTAATTGATTAAAGCGATTCCATTCTGTATTTGATCGCTAGAAATAAAATAGACGAACGAGAATATTTTAACTTAAAACAAGAATAACATACAAATGCTGTATTACGTCCCGATGATGGTACAGACGCAATTGAAAGTGATGAAAGAGTTTCACGCGTTTGTTGTTGTCGTGATAAACGTTGAGTTTTTCTCAATTCAATATTTTGTTTTAATTGCTCTATTTCAGGATTTTTATTAAAATTTGATGGTGCACTTGCTTGTCGTTGTTTTCTATTTATTAGAAAAAAACAAAACAAGAAAATACTTATTCAATATAATTAAAACAAAATTATATTTTACTTCTTAGCAGTTTGCGTAGTTAATTCGTTTCGATATTTAACTATATTTTGAACTGTATTTGTAATCAAATGTTCTTTAACTTGTTTATCTTTAACTATTTGATCACGTCGTGATTCTCGTTCTTTTTCTCGTTCAAGTTTTATTAATTCAAGACGTTCACGTAATTCAGCTATTGACATTTCATCATGTACACCATGTCCAGCTATCGATGTTAGATCAACTGGTTTCCATCGATCAATGGGAACTGATTCAAGAACACGAATTTGTTGAATTAATTCAGCACGTTGTCGCATTTCTGCTTCAGCCTAACATAAATAAAAATCGGTCCTGTAAAATATTCAAGGATAAGTCGCGAATGTTTCATAAGTTTTTGCCATCTAACATGGATCGTATTATGGATGTAAAAGCTATTTGATTGTGTGAGCAAAATCAGCCAAAGGGAGACATGACGATCTTCAATTAGGACTTTCACTCGACAAAAGCTGACTATGAACATAGGTAAAAATATTGGCTCTTTCACCTTACATCTAATTAATTACAACGTAATTAACCAATAACTCGGTAATGTTATGATTGAAAAGTCCACGAATTTCAGGATAGACTCCACATCTTAAACTATATCTATAGTGAAATTTTCAACCCGAGCTGATTCCATGAAATTGCTTCAGATAAATTGATTCTACAGAGATCTATTTGTGTTCCAGAATGAAATCTCATTTCTTTACTATCATCTCGAGATCCTGAAAAACGATTTATATCAATTAGAATTTGTTTTTGAATTTCTCATTTCATTATTATGTTTTTTGTTTCTATATTTGTATTATTTACGAATATCGATCAGTGCAAAAATGTAATTATTTGTAAAGCATATTTTCGACAATAAAACTTTGTATAGATACAATTTCAAGCAAATACAATAGTTAAATCATTCATGTTTCAATATTTGCTTTTTTTTCGAATGCCTTAATAATCATTTTCCAATCTTTGAAAACTAAAAAATTCAATATAAACAGAAATCTTTTATCAAAAATGAATTCTTCGAGTTTCATATTACTATAACAAGGAGAAAAAACGAATATTTTGGCATACTGCAAGAGTATATCACAGCAATCGTCCTTGAGAAGCAGAGATGGAACCGATTACCAGTCAGTCTATCTTAATACTTAAGCAACTTCTTTGCTCTTAATATCTTATTGAAGATGTGTAATGAAGGTATGGATTTCAAACTGACCAGTGTACCGACGACCGATCAGTCCAGTCTGCCATACTCAGACTGATTCCATCTTTATTGAAACGTTCTTAGCTATCTCAAGTCCACTATCAGGTTATCTGTAAATACTGCAAACATGCACGGACAGCCATGGTTACTTTGATTTTTAATTCGATGTTTTATAAATAAATACCAAGGTAACCATGGATATCGGTGTCCACAAAAACAAAGACTCTATTCCAGCTGAGAACAAAAAGCATAGCCTAGAATAAAGGTGTGCAGTTTCCGAGAAAAAAAACTGAAATACTGACTAGACTAGATCGATGTTCACTAAAGCATTGACACATTTATACAGTATGGATATGTCAGGTGAATCAATGAACACCGATCTAGTAACTGTCAGTGTGAGTTTTTGGTGAATAATTCACTGAAACTGCACATCCCTGGTCTAGAATGGATGTTTGTATGACATTCGTTTCGAAACTCTATTTATTTTTGCAGTTGTGGCAGTATCAATAGCTTTTACTGGTACCTCTACACTGTCAACTTGTATCACGAGCATATCAGCTTAAGTTCAGTTCGAAGTCCAAATACTTCACTGATTCTCAAATCTTGAATGTCGAAAGTTTTCCTCTTTCTAGTATAAACAACTGTAGTAGTACTACACTGAATGAATGTGAAAAAAGAAAAATTTAGACATCAATGCTAACCTCTTCAAGCGCTTGTTTCATTAATTGTTTATGTTCTTCTTTATATTGTTTAACAAAATCAGCTTTATATTGTTGAAGTTTTTGTTGAGCAAGCTTTGCATTTTCTCTTCCATTAACAACTTCATCAATTAATTGTCTATAGAAAAACAAACAAATTCATTAGAAATAAAATTCATTTGTTTTTAAATAATTAATTTACTTCATTCGTTGTTCTTCTTTAACTTTTTCTTTAACATGATTTTCAATAGTCTCACGTGTTTGACGTCTTAATTCATCAGCTAAACGTCGATTTTCATCTGCTAAACGTTGTCGTGCAAGTATAGCTTCTTCATAACTCATTTTTCCTTCTAGTCTTTTTCGCTCAATTATATTCATTTGTTCATCATAATCTTGTTTTTGCATTGTTTCTTGCCATTGAAAAAATTCTTGTCCATCTTTTCCACCAGCTTCAAAATCAAGTAAACGTCGACGAACATCATCTTCTTGTTTTTTATATAATTGACTTTCTTTTAATATAGTAGCAATATTTAATTTAACTGGAATTTTATTTGTCTAATTAAAAAAGAATGAAAATAAATTTTGATAATTTATTAAAATAAAAATTTAGTTACTTCAGTTTTTGGTGGTGGATTTGCACGAAAATGATCAAATCGAAGACTTTTATTACGATCTTCAATTATTTTTGTTATTTTTTTTTGTGTTTTAGATGATTTTTCTGTTTGTAAAAAATGATAATTTAATGTACGTGCTTGATCTAATTTATTTAAACCACGAAGCTGATTATCCTCACGAATTTTTTCTAATTCAACATGTTCTCGTGATGGTTCATAAGTTGTTTTAGGCACTGTACGAGTTTTTTCTAATTTTGGAATCTAAATTTACGCGAAAACAAAACATAAAACAAAGAAAAGGAATAACATTAATACGAACAATTTTTGGTATTGGTACGATTCGTGCTTTTGGTGCAGTAAGATTGAATGGTTGTATTTTTGTTGGTTCGGGTATTTGACGTGCTGCTGTACGTCCTTCAATAGCATCTGTAAGATCAAGTAGAATACTACGTAAATCTGGTAAATATCTATTTTTAAAAAAATCAAATCAAATGAAATAATAATAATTATTATTATTGAAGATAAATCATTTAACATACGCTTTAATAACTCGACCAATTTTATCATCAATATATTCTTGTTCATATAATTTCATACATTCTTTTTGAATTGTTTCAAGATGATTTTCATTGATTAAAAATTTTAACAACTAAAACAGTGATATTAAAAATTTAAAATGGTACATTGCCAGGCAATTCGTATCTCTCTTTGCAGTTTCTGAAGAACGAGGCAAACCTTAAGAGTAGATAGATCTCGGTGAGTAGAACAAAAGTTGTTACAGGCTTCATTGAACTGAAATTTTTTTGTTCGTTCACACTAGATACTGTTTGGAGCGTCTACTTTTTATCTTCTTCCTTTCGAATAGAAAAATCAAAATATTTAACGTACTCCCAAAAGATACATGTTTTTTTTTTACTAGAACTTTCTTTGTAAAAATCTGCCAATGATCAACCGTGCAATATTTACCTTAACAAAAAAAGTGGGCACTATAAATAGTGTCCAGCACCCGTTAGAGGAAAGTTTCAGCTCGATCGAACATACTATGTTGAAGAAATCGGTGCGATTTCGAGTGCTAGATTTTATAGAGGCGCCAATTAATAACGAACAGTCTTCATTTATATGACATGTGACAGAGGACACTTCGAAACTATATTAGGAATGAAAAACATAAAATCGAAAAAATCTTTGATTTTAACATTCGAATGAGATGGAGGAATACTCATAACACAGATAACACTGTGTAGATTTAGTTTACTCATACAAATGATTTTTAAGATCAAAAGCTGAATAAAATTCTTTATTTTTTGCAAGATTTGCCTCTTGTTTGTCTATTAAAAGCAGTGATCAAGTGTTCTAATTATTCATTCATGTATTCATAAGTAGCACGGGTATTTTCCTTTCGTTATTCCGGATTATAATCTCTCAGCTACAATCAAATTTGAAGAACTTGGCTTTCGTAAATCATCTATTNGGATTAAAGCTAATAATGCTATTAAGATAATAGGAAATAATAGTTCACAAAGTATTGTTGGACAACATTTACAACATCGTTTTCGATATGAATAACGAAGTGAACGTTGAAGTAATAATTTTATTTTACGAGTTGAACCAGTTGGTAAATATTCACCTTTTGTTAAATGTTGACGATATTTATTAGATTCAGGTATGCCATATTCAGTGGAACTATCCATTGAATTATTATTTAAACTTTACACACGTAATTTAGATGTAAATTTTATAGCATCAGCTTTGATAATAAGTGTTTGTAATAATCTATGATTATAATAAAACGTGTTTTTATTTATAGAACAATGGTTACATGTTGTTATTTCTGATAGTATTTTTCCCAGTGAATCAGATTTACATATTTTACTTAATGGCAGCGCACTCTTGCCAGGCTGCAAATAATCATCATCCTTATCTTTTATTATATCTGGGGAAAAATTCAAAACTTATGCGCATAAAGAGAAAAATAAAAAATGCATTTCTATTATATATTTCAATCATGAAAGAGAAACATAATAACACCTCTATGTTAACTTACGAGTGTTTTTCTCGGCGAAAGGGAAAAAAAGAATTAATTCAAGTGTTGATAACTTGTGACAACTGATTAATGTAAATCCTTCAAAAATAGATGTCTATCCAGAAGAGAAGCTCAGTCTAAGAGTTTAAATTTTCCAGATGTGGTAGAAAATGAATCAGGTCGAAATATAAATACATATAGAAATTAAGAAATCCACTCATTCTGTTGACAACGTCCGTTTTTTAAATAAACATTTATGTGTCAATCTATTTCCTTCGTTCATCAGCATATATGCGTCAATCATGATGTACTGGGAAAACATATTTTAAGTGTGCCCTTCCGTATTTTTAGTTTTCTCTGTAGTTCTCCTCTGCTAAGTGTGACTTTTTTCCTTGTTGTTCTTCATTATGTGTTTATTTTTGCCTCTACTAGCATTTGCGTCATTGCTTTCCTTGTGTGCACTCTATCTCTTTTATTTTTCACTATTACTTATTTGTTGGCGATCACGAGTGTTATGAGAAACAAAGCATAAACCAATGACAAAACATTTTTTTTTCTGTTCTGTATTCCAGTTAATTCGTGATAAAAGACATTGACATACGCATTTTAATACTTCTACTTCAACGTTAGTACATTCACTTAGTAAAAGATATTCAAAAGTAATTCAAATTCGTAATTAAAACTCATTTGGAACAGAAGAAAATCAGTTATTATTATTACATTCTTTAACTCAAGTAAATGACAATGTACCTGACAAGAGTTGTCTAATGCGAATTCGAATATAAATCAAGAGTTCAGTGAGTAACATCGAGTCAGAAATAAATGAAAAAAAAACTAAACTACAGGTTCTTGAATCATCGGGAAAAATAAAAAAGATAAAGTTTTTCTTACATATAATTTATATGAAATATATATAGTGACTACACGAGAAGCTTTGATAGGAATAGGCATGTAGGTTTAGACAAAAGGAACAGAGAAAATTTTTCTTAGATATACTGTGCACGTCAACTGACATTCACGCCTTCTGCCCTTTTTTTTCTTTTTGTTTTTATCACTGGGTGTCTAATACCATGGATAGTCAATCATAAAGTTTAATATGAAAGAAAATTTTCTGAATACTTTGTGTTTTTGTGGTTCACTACTCATGCAGCTATCCTAAAAATCATATTTAAGAAAATATTTATCTTATCATTTTTTTAAAACTTATAGCATAGCCATATTTCTATATTTTTTTTGATTCTGCATGTGTTTTATTTGTGACGCTCTGGAGCGCTTACAAATGGGATAGGTTATAAAAGGTGGAAGAGATAACAAGAGGAAAAAAAAGGGGGAAAGAAGAAATGACAAGAAGAAAATGGAAAAAGACATAAATGGGTAGGAGAGGAGAGGTGTAAAAATGATGAAATAACAGGAATAGAAAGATTGTAGATTACATGATTCTTTTATATCCACGTAGAGAACACATTATCAAGAGGAGACAAAAAAACGACTAAGAACTTTGTGACGTTCGTGAACTGGTAGCAGGGCATGGATGAGTAAATGTTGGAAAGTAGTGAAGCGGCTCATATGGTGCTAAGTGTGTTTATCCTACACTTTGTATTAATTTATAGTCATGATGCATGCTCTTAATTTTCAATGAATTGTAACCATATTCCTAATAGGGATTTTTGTTTCTTTTTCAGCTCTTTTACTCGTTTTAGTTGGAAGAAGTGTCCTAGTCCGTCATTTTTTTCTTTTTTAAAATTAACCCAGTAGGATATGTCATCGAAGAATAATGATTTCGAAAGATCTGATCTGTAGATTTTTTTAAGTCTTTTCTTTATGTATTGTTTAACGTAGAAATCTAAATCCTTTTCATTCGTAATAGATTGCAACTCTTGGGCTGTAACCCATGGGCATCGGTGCACTAATCTCAAACCTGCTCTAAACTTCTGGCGCAGTAGTTCTTGATGGGTACGAGGAAGAAGGGGAAAGAGACAAAAAAGCCAAGCAAAAAAGGGAAAAGAATAAGCAAAAAAGCATTGTCTCAGTAGACTAGTGGAGATTACTCGGCAGCGTTTTAACCACTTCAGTTTCGCATATGACCGTTGAACCTTTTCTAGACAATTTACAACAGACTTGCGCATGGAAAATCTGCTAGTCCAAGTGTAACCGAGGTATTTGAAGTCCGTAACGCATTTAAGTGGTTTACTGTTCATAGATACTTTGAGGGGACGTAGGGTTATTTGGGTGTGGAATATTTGGTAGACCGATTTGGAGATGTTGATTGGTTGTTTCCACTTTCTTGCGTATTCGAAAAGATTATTGCTGACTTTAGTGCCTTCATTTTCAAGAAACTGCAACATGGGTTCTATTCTCTTCTGTATTGGAGGTTTGGTCAAAACATTTAGGTCATCTGCAAAGATGTGGGTCGAAAATGCTCCAGTAGCTTGAATGAGATCAGAATGAAATAGTATAAATAGATATGGGCTTAGACTACTTCCTTGAGGTAGTCCTATCGAAATTTCGAACTCTTTTGTTTTAGTTTCGCCATACTGAACGAAAGCCTTTCGCATTGATATCCATGACCATATCATTTTCAATAACTGACTTGGGATGCATAGACGGTGAAGTTTTACCAATAAGGCGGCATGCCATACCTTATCATAGGCTTTCTGGTAGTCAATATATATAGATAGAGTCGGTATATTGGCATTCATGTTATTGAGTACTTCTTGGTATATGGACATAACCCTGGTTGGTATTAAGCAATTTGGCCTAAATCCTGACTGTTCACTAGGTAATATATAATTTGGTTCAGCCCATCCCCGTATTCTTGTGAGTAGAATTTTTTCAAATACTTTTGAATGTGTTGCTAGCAGCGATATCGGACGTGTTTGATCACTTTTCGGCACACCAGCTTTCAATTTGTTCAGCGTGATAATCTTAGCTACTTTCCACTCATTTGGCAATCTGCATTCCTTTAACCAAAGGTTGAAGCAATTGCCTAGGCATTGAATGTATCCGGGTGGAAGCTTCTTTAACATATAATTAGATATGGAATCATACCCTGCTGATTTCTTAGGTTTGAGGGATCGTATTGAGCTATATATTTCTTTAGTGCTTGTCAGTTCTACTCCTTCTGCTGAGTTAGAGAAGCTTTTTAAAATTTCTTGGAATTCAGTTTCTATTTCTGAGTCATGTGGATCCTTTTTGTCGACAATTGGGGGCTGGAATTGCTCTGTATAATACTTGTATAGCTCTTGAGCAATTTTTTCTTTGTCTGATACAGTCTCATTATTTACTTTTAACTTGGTAAAAGGAAGTGATTTAGGTTTATATATTTTACCTAGATGAGCCCAAAAGGCTGTATCACCTTTATTTTTACTTTGCTGAATTTTTTCTAAGAAGCATGACCACCGATTGCACCGGTAATTAGCTATATCAGACTGTACTTCTCTGTTCAGTGTTCTTAGTAGTAATCTCTCTATTTCACTATCGACGTCGTACCTTCTTTTCCTATAGTATTGGTTCCTTATTTTTCTTAGCTCTTTTAGTTTATTCAAAATAAATTGTGGTAGAGCTGGTCTAAACTTTTCTTTGGTTTTCCATGTTGTTACACGATTTTTTAATGCTCCCAGAAATTTAATATACTTTCTGTACCAATCATCTAGGGGATTAATCATTTGCAAATTGACCCAGAAATCTTGAAGTAGACATAAGAGGATTTCAAATTCATTCCAATTTATGTGTGGGAAAAAAAAGTGTGTCGAGTATTGGATGACGACGTTCGTAGTGTATATGATAGGCCAATGATCACTAGTACCAAAATTTAAAGTTTCACCCGTCATCTCTCTTATATTTGTAAAGAGAAGGTCGATATTTCGTTTAGAGCGTTTGGAGGAGTTATATGTATTTTTTATATAAAACAGACTATTTTCTTCCACCCATTTCTTTAGAATAACACCTCTAGTATCATCTTTTGGACTTCCATATTCCGTTGTTGAGGCATTAAAATCTCCAGCTATTAAAGTGTTTTTAATAACTAATGGCGCTAATTCATTTAAATTTCTCTTCTCAGTCGGAGGCCAGTAAACTCCAATTAGTCTGAGTAATTCACTTAATCCATATATGTCTACCACCACTGTGTTTGGAATTGAGGTTGCTATCTCAACGGATTTCAAATTTTTTCCAACTGCTATACAAACACCACCTGAACGATTTAAACCTGCTTTGTAAAAAGTATTGTAATCTGGAATTTGCAAGCTAGACTCCTGTATACCGACCTCCGTGCAAATACAGATCGGGGTTTCCTCTGAGTGAATTAGGTCTATAACTTCTAATCTTCGACTTTTCCAACCTTCTACATTATACAGGCATATTTTTAGGGGGTTTGTGTTCAACGAGGACTTGATTTCTTTAGGATGTATTTGATGATTTTCCCAATTTAACAAAACTGTATCTAGAGGCATAGAATACCATTCCATTAAATACCTTAATATTTTCTTTGATATCTTCTCTGGGAAACCACAATTTCTTAGTCGTTTTTTGTCTCCTTCAATCATATCTACTACTGATCTTGGATAGAAAGTCTTTGCATTAATGTTTAAGTTGTACGAAGACATTATGATTGATTATCTTCCCTTGAACTGTCAGATTGTTCCATCAAGGAGGGAGTATCATTTGTTGTTGTTAATAATGGTGATTGATTATTCATAATATTTGATGGCGATGTAATCAACGAATTTAATTGATGCGTATTTCGTAAGAAGTTATAGTTGAAGTCTTTACGCAAATGCTCGGCATGAATATTAAAAGGTTTTTCAAGATCCTGAAAGGCCGTTAAAATTTCATTTTTTTCTTTTGCATTTGAATCAGGAATAATTTCAACTAATGGCCATATCACCTTTTTCAGTAAATTATCTATTGTTGAATTGATGGTACATAGACTCACATGGTGAAGCTGTAAGTTGCTTGCATTTATATTAATCTTTTCGTCAAGTTTTTGAAGAATTGTTTCTTTTAATGATACAATTTCAGTTTTAAAATCTTTGTTTATCTTCGCTAACATCGAGACGATTGTGTTGGTTGACATTGTTTTGCTATTTGTTGATATACGATCGTTTACACATGGCCATATTGCATTACTATTATTAATCATTTTCATGTTGCTGTTGCCTGGTAATGCTGGATAATCCCTATCATAAAATAAATCAGAAGTGGATTGTTGGTGTTGATGAGACATTTGTATTGTTCTTCGATTAAGTGTACCATCACTGATGGCCTTTTTAACTTCTTCATTAAGCTTTTGTCTATAATTCCGAACGACATTGCATTTCGGATCTAAAGAGTGATGGTCAAGACCACAGTTGGCGCATATTGGCTTGCTCGAGCACTTTTTCAAATGATCATGATCATAATTTTTTAGACATATTCGACATTTAGCTACATTTGATATGCATGAGGGTCGTAGGTGGCCAATACACCAACATTTTGTACAAAAAGTTAATTTGTTTGCAGGTAAATACTTCGTAATTGGATGGAAACGATTTGCAATACATAATCTACCTATTTTCAAGGCACCTTCATATTCAGTTAAATCCGATACTGTAAATCTATAATCATTGCTAGAGCGACTATATGAATATAAAATTTGTTTGAAATTGCTGGCAGAGCTAATGGACCGTTTAATTTCTTCCGATACCATTTCACTTGTAACCGATTGAGGAACATAACGTACTACTAGGGTGAAACATTCTGGTACAAATTTCGGCTTAATTACTGCCATTTTTTTTCCATTAATTAATGTTGGCCATTTTTCCGTACGTATAAGTGTAGAGTAGTCCTCCATATTGTTAACTCCTAGTTTCAGTCTATGACCTATAAACGAGGCAACAGAAAAATTATTAATATCAACTTTATTTTTATAAAAATGGTCCTTGATTAGGTCGCATGCAATGATTGCCGATGGAAGATCACGTGCAGCTACATTGTTATCAAATTCAATTAAGAAACACGGCAAATTGTGTCCTATGGCTCGTTTTAATTGCTCAATTGGAATATCATAAGATTTAGCCGCATTTAATTGAGTTGCTGTTTTTCGATCATTTATCTGCAAGGTGTTTAAATTTTGTTTGCTGGACGTTGTGTTTAGATTTGTTATGTTCCTCATTGGTTGTTGCTGCAGGTTACCTTTTTCATTTCTTATCTTCTTTCTTTGTTCATTTGATCGATTTAATTGATCAATGTTTCTTTTGGGAGTAGATACAGGCTTATCCTGAAGATGCCTACCGTTGTCAGTTGTTATTATTTCATTTCCATCGACAAAATCAATGTTATTATCTTTATTATTATTGGCTATGTGTTTCTCGCATTGATGAATCATCATAGTCATTGGTGGTGCTTCATCGTAAACATATTTGTTTGTTTGTTTGTGAATCTTTTGTTTGTTGTGATAATCTTGATCAATTGGGGCATATAATTGACCATTAATTTCAAGTAATTGCATTTGTTGTCTATAATTCGATGGTGTAACAGGTGTTTCTTCTGTTGAAGCAGGTGACTGTTGCTGAACAAGTTTGCCATTATTATTTTGATTGTTGTCTTCCATTATTTTATTTCCATCATTAAGTCCGTTTCGGTTTCTATCGAAACGATTATGTCTTTTTTGTTTGTTTGAGTTCATTTTAGAACTCTTTTTTTTTTTTTGGAGTAAATTGAGGGTGTCCAAACCCGAAGCAGTTGCTTCCGTTCAGAAAAAGGAAAACGAAGCAACCTATGATGCAAGCAGAGTAGTGCAAAAAAGACGTCTTATCACCAAGTATGAATTTTTTGAACTGAACTTAAGCGCTTCACAGCAGCTTATTAAGGTGTAAGCTTTTCTAAGTTGCTTAAAAATAGTTTACACTGTCAAAAATTTCCCCATGAGTATACTTTGCTTTACATAAGATGAACTTCTTCACCATTCAACCATCCACTTACATTAGAAATGCAATCAAAACTGAATGATATAATTGTCATGTGAATACTAAAAAGGAACATGTGAACGTGGATACTAATAACTATAGACGAGTTCGAAAAACTAAACAAGATTTTTAACCCTTTCGCGGCGATTGGGTCCCACAGGTAGGACCCACTTTAGGGTTGCCCAAAAGCTCGTTTGTCATAGAAAAAATTGAATATCTATGGCATCCTTTGACCAAAGGAGCTGATGTTTTTACCGTTGATAGAGGAATGTTCACCGCTCATATTGATAAGAGAAATATCGATAAAAGTTGTGTTGAAGTACTACATTTGTTATGAATAAAGAAATGAAACCTTTCACGAATTATGAGAAAGCATTATTCATATCGCCGCGAATGGGTTAAGCCAATACGGCATGGATATATAATACATTATAAAATGGCCGAAATTTGTATGCCGAGACAGAATTTTTTTGGTAATCATTTTCATAGATACGACCATATTGTATTGACATGCAGAATTTAGTACAATTCTGGTAATCTTACAGATTTACGCTAATAATACTTTAGCACTTACATGCGAGTCATATATCTTGCATAAACACACAAGAGTCATGGATAATTTCGCATGTTATGCTTAAAAACTCAGGAACTTGTATTTCCATGCATGCGTTTGTGACATGTACTTATGCGTAGTAATTGTGAATATTTATAATACCTTGCATGTTCATGCATAAGATACGATGACTTGAAAAATATTTTGCAAGTAAACGTGAGTTTCAGAAAGTTTCTTGCAAATACATTAGGTTTTTAAGCTTTCACGTTGAACTGGAGTAGTAATCAAAAATTCAGTCCAATGAAGTTTCTGCTTGACACAATATGAGTCTGACTTTACGTCTATTTGTGTATTACAGTACATAGAATAAAGAAAGTCAGTCGCAAACATATTTATTAACCTACTGTTAACACAAAAGGAGAAACTACGAATAGATTTTATTTGTATTTGTCAAACAGTATAGTCCTTTTTTAGGAGAGGTTGGGATGAAACAGGCACAATAAAATATTTATATATAAATGTGTTTAACATCTCAGTGGATGTTCTGAATCTACGCGGTAAGATACTATTTCTGCGGAAGTTGATTGATTTGAATCAGCCGTTATGCGGAAGGGTAATTTGTCAAGTATGCATTCCAGACTGGTTGAAATACAAGAGAGAACAGAAATTCACAGAGGCGGTTTTATCCCCTTTTTGAAGTCGTTCTCACATGGAATCAAAAAAAAACATTGTATAAATGAAGTTTTACGATTAGGATGACATGCACCGCACTCTTTTTTTTTCAATTTTTTTTGTTAATATTATATCTTAATTAATTTTTGAGCTAGTTTAAGCAACGATCGATAGATTTTGTTGAGATCTATTCAATGATACCATGTACGCTCTAAAAAATGTCTCTATATTTTGTCGCATGATGATTGACATGACATTAATATTGAGTTATAGAGTGAATGTACACGTCTTCATCAATTTTTCGTTCGTCATTTTGTTTTCATAGATATGCTCTATAGATGATAGAAACCATTCTTGTGTCTTTTAGATGCCTTGTAGAGAGTTTATCTACATTTCAAAGATATTGCTCACTGCATATAAAAATAGTAGCTCATAGTCATTTACGAATGGCGACAAAAAAAGACTAGAGAGTTATTTGTTAAAAAGTACATTTTTGAAAGTTAGTTTTTTTTATCAGTGAACTACTGTATTAAAAAAAAACGTTTTATGGTATTTTTACGCACAATAAGTACGACTATTGCGTATGTGTGCACCCTTTTTCATGTGTCTGCAATGAATGCAGCTTGTAATGATAAATTCGTATGCGGGAACGCTATTAATGTAATGAAATACTTCGTATTATAATAGAGAGTATTAGCAGAATGCTGCCTAGGGTGCCATTCAAGTAATGAAGCTGAATCGTATACGATAGAAAAACGATGTAAATACGACAGTATACGAAAAACATCGATCATTTATTGTTGTTTAAGGTAGTAATCATGCCGTTTCTCCAAAGTTTTATGCAGTTCAAGCTATTGTTTCAGGCTGTCTGAATGGTCAACCTGATAATATCATTAAATTAAAGATCATTGCCAATATAACTGGTTATCCGAGTATGTTTTCCATTTTGCTCATTTTCATTCGAGGATATCATTAGTAAAGAATCGTCATTTAACTTTTTTAAGAATTTTAATATTACATCACGTCAATCTATCATAACTACTTTTTTCAGATGAAAGCTTTCATTTAACCTCAGGTCTTTATCAGACATTGCTATATAGTGAGTCAATTAATGGATTACTTATTCTATTTTAGTAAGTAATGTGTTCACACACGTGTTACTTATATGCATGGATCGTAGCGTCTGTTAGAATTCTAGCAAAAAAGTCGTTCAAACAAGTGTGTCTCCTCATGCATTTTTTCAGGATGCTGCGATTCATGTGTATATGAGCCATTGTAACGACGAGCAGAAAAGAAAAAAAAATGATGTCTTGCTATTATGTGGAGAAGAATAATACTCAGCGTGAATCAGACCCTGGTAAGCATTTCATTTGTTTTGATGTGTAGTATTATTCTCATAATTATAAAGTTACGATGCTATATAACACAATGCATAGTATTTTAGAGGTCACTTTCATTAGTTTAGTGGCATCAGAATAGGTCTATAACCATATAAAGTATGAACAAAAAGTAATATTTAATTTTTCTTAATGATTTCTTTAATGTTTATTCGTAAAACGTGATATAAATATTTTTAAAACGAATAATTAACTATAACTTTATATATTGTTTTTAATATCATCAATCAGTTGATATTTAGCTCCATTGAAGTAATTTTGATAGATTTTTTTATCGAAGACACAACATCGATACGACATATATAAGTTTTATATATGGATGTGAATGCCATATTATTCATGTAGTATTGTGAATCGATGACCTACAGATAAATTAATAGCACTTTTGATATTTTCTTTTCTTTCTATGAAATTCATGTGATTCATCTTTAAATGTCATGATAATAAAAATGAATAAATGCATTTTCATTAGGATGGAGTGAATCTCTATGCAATCATGCTCTTTTATAGTCACAAATTCTCATGTACTTTTATTTTTTCACATTTCAATTTCATTTTTACAAAATGTGACAGATTTTATACTCCTTCAAAAGTATCATCAAAATAAAGATCATCACAGAAAAATATTTCTATCAAAATTTAGCCTTTATACACAAGAAACGAGGTAATTGTTATATGATATTTTTGACATTTTAATTTAAGCATTCAGTTTTTTTATAATCTTGACAGATTCGCATATATATATATATATATATTACATTATGGAAGATAAAACAAACATATACATGTACTCCATGATCTTACTTTCAAAGGACTTCCGATAAAAGAGAAACTCATTTCCAGATTTAATTGCTTTTTTTTGTTTCCATGGATTATATTCATTATAATATAGAAGAGATATTAAAATAACAAGTACACTTAGCTTCAGAAATATAAAAGAATGATGATAATGAATATTCATTTCATTGTACATCAGTGCTTTTTTTTTAAATATAACAACGCATTTCGTCAGTTCTAATAAAGAAAAACCATGCGCACCACAATTACTTTATAAGTCATAGAGAAAGAAAAAAAAAATATATGTAAAAAGTGATAATGAAGAGGAATTGAAATGTTGTTTTCTTCATATATCTTAAATAAATATATACTTTTTTTTTGTTCATGTTAGATAGATGAAACAACATCTTTGGTAAGACAATATTTACTTATTTTAGTTTTTTTCCTATTAAAATTTAACACCAAATGTTAAATAGATTGGCAAATAATAATGCCAGTTCGAAGCTGCCTGTTTTTATTACCGTGCCATTTTCGTTATGTAATAATTATAATTCTATCAAGTAGTATTTTCTTTCTATTGAATTGGACTTCAACCTCTATATCTACTCAACCGTTTATCATATCTTTCACTACGAATAATTTAATTAGTCAACATTCATTAATAAATCAAACATTATCTGAAACGCAATTTCCATTTACTAATCGTACAATAAATATAAAAACTACTCGTATTGTTCGTTTAGCTGTTGTATCAGCGATCTATAGTGATGATTATCTTGAAGGTATCGAAGTTCTTGGTTATAGTCTTCGACGAATAAATATTCAAGCTGATCTAATTCTTTTCTATATTTCAAATCGATTGAATCAATTAACACTGGATCGATGTCGTAAAGCCGGTTGGTATTTATCCTCTGTTGAACGTATTAAGCCACCTCGATTTGCTATTGTTTATCAACGTTTTCATGATCAATATACAAAATTACGTATATGGTCCATGATTGGTTATGATCGAGTATTATATCTTGATGCGGATACACTGGTTATACATGATATCAATGAATTATTAACTGGAACTATTTTTGAAGATGATCAGGATGGACTATTAGGTGCAGTGGAAGATGTTTGGCAAGGAGAAATAGGACCTAATTTTAATGCAGGTGTACTTCTTATTTGTCCAAATATGACTATTTTTAATGATATGCTTATAAAAATGCATAATATGGCTGCTTATGGTTCTTATTGGGCA